TAAACCCTATTTCTCATTCAGAGAAATCAGAGATGAAAAAGATATATTAGATGATGATCTAACCCCCCCTCTAAATGCCGGTTATAGTCCACGAGAGAACACTTATCTGGTATACTAGTACCCGGGACTTTCTGTGCCAGCTATATTTGTCCAGCCTGAAAGTTGACTGTATAGCAAGCAATCTACATATTAATAAAGTGGCCTGCAGCCAGTCCATCCAGAATTCCTACTTAAGTCCATGCTAGGACCATGTGAATAGTAGATGCAGGATCAGACTCAAATCAATTAATCCTGTACAAGTAGCATCTGAGTTCTCTTTCATACTTTATTATGGTGCCTGTAGAACACGGAACTTTATTGAGCAGTCAAAAACATGTGCACCATGTTTCTTCTTGCATTTTTTTTCCTATCCAATCCAGCTCTTCATTTCACTGGTGGTCTCCTTAAAACTACACAAACTAGCATTGGGCTGTTGCAGTTTCCATATCTTGAAGAGGAATTCTGCTCTCAACACAGAAGGATATGCCATGGCAACCAAATTTCACTTGTTTTCACCAGTGATGAATCTGACCTGTGATGTTTACACACAGACTCTTGGCTGGAAGTATGGATGGTCTAATTAGGGAACCAAGAAACTGAGATGAAACCTTTTCCGAATCAGCTGCCACTATATGCCAGTATTTTGTTTGATGTGATTTCTGCTCAGAACCTGCTGTGTATATTTATTCTTCCTTTTTTGTGCTCTCTTCTCTGTGACATCCCAACTGTTGTGGAAGAAGATGTGCTGTCAAGCCAAGCAATTAAAAATAGTGTAAGTGTCGTGCTGGTGAAAGGTGCCAGAATGACCCCCTTAGAAGAGTAGTTCTCTATCCACAGAATAGATACAGCATGGGCAGCAGCATTGCGAGCTTCCCCAGGTTGCTAATGTGCATCAGTCCTGAGCTGGGGCGGGGCCATCTCTTTTGTGTGAGAAGACAGTTCATTATCTCTGCATCCTTGACCTTGTTGCTTAGACTGTCAGCTTGTGAGAGTCTTTGTGATGTGAACCTATGTCAAGTAGGAAATTGATTCTATTTTATTCTATCTAGGTTCTTTACCACCCTCATCAATGTAGTATCTAAGCAGCCTTCCAGTACTGTGTTAAAGAATGTGACTAATATCTGTCATGTGCTGTTCATTTTCTCTCTTATCTTTACCCCAGGGAGGAAATTGTATGTTCCATGCAGTGCTTTGGTAGTTTGCTTTTTCAGAAAACATAATATGTCCATGATGCTATGTATGTTTTTGAGTTTGAGAGGGAAAGGTTGAAGAAGTGCACCTTGAACTTGGAGCAGAGAGTGGTGAGGTTTGTGATGGTCCTTAGTCTCTCTTGGTGTTTGTTCCATCACCTCAGATCGGCCCCCAAGAAAGCCCTGTCTCCTGCACAAATGATCTTATACTTATGGTAGAAATTTCCATTGTGCTGAGGAGTGGAGTTGCTGACTATAATCCTCGTTCTGGAGTTTTAGGTGATATTTCGATACTCTGGGATTGAGATCTGAGATCATAAGGGATTGCCATGTTAACACGCTGCACATAGTTCATGGTGGAAAAGAGATGGTCAAAAAAATTTTTTTTTTAATTTTGTGCATTTTCCTCACTATTTACCATCAAAACTTCATGTAGATGAAAACAGAAAAAATGATTGTCAAGTTTTGGAAAATATGTTTTCCAAGCAGCATTACAGCTAGTTAGAAAAGTGGATGAAATGAAATTTCATGCATCAAAACTCATGAACATTTTCAAGAATTTTTGTTTGAATAACCAGGGGTGTGTGTGTGTGTGTGTGTGTGTGTACACCGCCCCCTACTTCCCATATATAGAAATAGACGTCCTGACTACCCAACC